TACATTTATATTTATTATTGAAACTTGCACCAAGGGAGTGGCACTCCAATTTCGTTGTACTCTGTACAATGACAATAAAGGCTATTCTATTCTATTCTATTCTATTCTATTCTAGTAACACCTTAAAGTGTTGAGCAGAGCAGAAATGTGAAAGGCTGCAAAACAGCACTAAAGTATAATATGATTAAAGACTGTGTCTAATTTTATATCAGCGGATTTTACTTTTCTTAAAATCTCATCATGAATATGAGGAAACGTTCATTTCAAATTATAGACATAAAGCCGTTTAAAGGACACAATAATTACATTATACTTGATGTGTAGTAACAGCAAGCCACCAGCAGGGGGCAGAAAAGCGCACATGGACGCCGTTTAACCCCCATCATCCGCCTGACTCCTTCCTCTTCCGGTTACGGCGACAGCAGGTATGGCGGTCCCTGCTTTCCTCAGAAACATAATGAGTTTAAAATCGACTGTAATCCTACGTTTTAATAAACTAATGTGGTCTAGTTCAAGTAAATATACTACTCAGGGGAGCTCTTTGCTCTGAACTATGGGGTTATTTCATGACTTACTGGATTTTAACGACATAGTTTTTGTGTGACATGAGAAGGCCGTTCTCTTGAGTACTGAGCACAAGCCGGTGGAGGTGTTTTAGCTTTTAGTAGCGTTTAAATGGATGTTTAAAGGATAAATTAGCTGCAGACGATGTTTCTCTTAAACGAGAGTGCCGGTTTAACAAGTCCGGTCAGTGTTTACTTAGCCAACATTAAAGTAATGGAGTGGACTCTGTTAGCGGGCAGGGTTAGCATAGCAGCGGTGTGTACTACAGTTAACTGAATTTTGTTTGTTTTCAGCTTCAAGATGGTGCAGCGCCTGACTTACCGCCGTAGGTTGTCCTACAACACCGCCTCCAACAAAACCAGACTGTAAGTAAACTCTCTCCGGTTGTATTTGCTTCTATGCCTGGCTCACTGCATGTCTATCTATATAGAGCTGGTACCCTGACTATGAATACATAATGCCAGGACGGAGCTGTAGTTGTATATAGGCTAGTAGCTACTATGATACACCACATCT